GACAACTGCTTCCGGCGAGCGGCCCCCAATGCCCGGCGGACGTCCCACGGCACCTCGTGCGCACTCCACACGGCACGCGTTCCCACTTCCTGTGATGACGAGTGCGGCACCGCTCTCCCCGCGTCCGCAGGCACATACCAGTCCTCGACGAGGCTAGCTCGGTGGCCGGCGTGGCGCTTTTGTTTCTTTTTTTGCACGTGTTTCTTTTCTTGTAGGCTGGCTCGGTGGCCGGGCTGCTCGACGTGGCAAAGTGCCTCTCGGAGGCCCTGGCGGGGCTGCACGGGCACCAGCTGGACCATGCGGCGAGCGGTCGCCCCGCGGCCCGCGTCTCGACCTCCTCTAAAGGGCGGCGGCGGGCGGGGGAGGGGCGTTGGCGGGGCCTGCGCGTAGACGTAAAAGTCGAACAGGGTGAGCAAGCCGAGGAAGCGCGCGCGCTCCTCCTCGTTGGATGCTGCGGCGGCGTCGGCCTCGGAGCGGAGGAGGTACCTACAGCCATTGAGGTTCATCTCGACCAGCTGTGCGGTGATCGAGCCCGCCTTGGAGGAGGAGGGAGGACGCACTTGCGCAGCACGCCGCAGTAGGCGGGGTTGTTGATGACCTCCTCAATCGAGATTGCGAGCGAGGCGGAGATTGTCACCTGCGGCTGCTGCGACTCTGCAAACGACTGGGTCAGCTTGTAGAGCCGCTCGGCCTGGTAGGTCGCCAGGAAGCAGAAGAAGCGCGAGGGGAGGCGCGGGTGGGTCGAGAAGAGCTGCTCGAGCCGCCGCCCCTCGATGGCGACCACGGTCGTGTCCTGGTCCGCCGCGACCGACGCGGTGGCGCGCCCCTCCTTGAGCAGCGACGTCTCGCCGAGCATCTCCCCCGCCTGTGCAGGCGTGCAGCCGAGATCTAGCAGAGATGTGGCACGGGCGCGTCTCGCCCAGCACCCCCCCCCCCCCGCCTCGCGGTATCTCGGCTATACCTCGCTATGTCTCGGCTAGCTCTCGCCTGCCGGTAGCCCACCACCACCGCTGTATCTCGGCTATACCTCGCTATGTCTCGGCTAGCTCTCGCCTGCCGGTAGCCCACCACCACCGCCTGCGCCTGGTCGGGCAGCAGCAGCTCGACGCGCAGCGCGCCTGTTCACAGCTAGGGGTGTGAGGAGACGCTGTTCACAGCCAGAGGGCAGCGGCAGCTCGACGCGCAGCGCGCCGCGGAGGATCTGGTACAGCGTGGCGGAGGCCTGCCCCTCCTGCACCACGTACTCGCCTGAGCAATCCGATTCGCTGAGCTACGGACTCGCCAGTGCCGCACGCCCGGTGAGGCCCGGCCGCAAGGCTGCGGGCGGAGCGCTGCGCGTGGCTGGAGTGCCGCCTGCGGCTGGTGCGCGGCGGGGCGGGGCGGGGGCGAGAGTGGGGCGGGGCGGCGCGGGTGCGGGTCGCGCCCTTCTTGTAGTGCAGCGTCTTCGCGACGGAGAGGAAGTGGTCCCAGTCCTCCGGGTGCAGGTCGAGCTCGTGCAGCAGCGTGTCCTGGGTTCAACAATATGAAATGTGATCTGTCTTTCATCAGTATTAGTCTCCTCCTTCTGCCCGCTGTCCTGCTCCGACTTGTCCCCCTTGATAATCGGCTCGAGCATGACGTGGAACATCTCCAGCGACACCGCCTCCCCGTCCTCGCCCGCGCGCCCAGACGCGCCGTCGGACAGGTGTGAGCGGGACTTGCCCAGCGCGCCCGTCTTCGCCTTGAGGCGGCAGGCCTGCACAGGGAGGCGGAGGCAGAGGCGGAGGTGGCGCCAGTGAGCCGGCCGGCGGCGGCGCGAGCGAGGGGGCGCTGGCGAGTCGGGGCTGCGGCTTCGGCGTGCGTGTGGAAGGCGTGCGTGCTGCGGAGGCGGAGAGGCGCTGGCGGAGGCGGGGGCGGAGGCGACTGGTGAGGCGGCTGGTACGGCGCCTCCATCAGCAGGCAAGCCTCCTCGAAGTCTTCGTTGATTTGCAGCTCGACGGACTGGCCCTTGGACTGCACCTCGACCGTGTTCGCGTTGCCCTCGGCCGGCTCCGAGCGCAGGAACGAGACGATGTCCGCGTTGTCGATCACCATTTGCTTGTTGAACGCGAACATCTTGAGGTCGAAGCAGAGGGTCGAGTCGAAGATGTACAGCACGCCGAAGTGTGCGTGCTGCTCCTTGACCGCATTCACCTGCCCGCCGCGTGCGCCGCCGGTCGGAGGAGCGCCGCGGGGGCGGGCGCGAGGCGGCGGCGAGGGCGGCGGCGAGGGCGGCGGCGAGGCGGCGGCGGGGGCGGCGGCGAGGATGGGTGGCAGGTTCATCGGCGAAGGCGGCGGATGGAGGGGTGTTGTGAAGGGCTAGTGGCGGCGTGCGGTGCTTCGCGGCGGACATAGCTCTGGGAAGCGTCTTCTGGGCAGCGTCTGGGCAGCGTCTGGGCAGCGTCTGGGCACCGGCTGGGAAGTGTCTAGGAGGTGTCTGGGCAGAGTCTCGGCAGAGGCGCCTCGCGGCGGACAGAGCACTGGTAGACGCCGATCAGGCGCTGGTCGGAGGCGAGGCCGAACTTGGCGCGGGCGTGCGAGATGTCGGTCGTCGGCAGCGAGGCGGTCTTGCCGGGCGCCTGGTCTCGGGCGAGGGGGGGGGGGTTCGGGCGAGCGGGAGGGTCGAGCGAGAGTCGGGCGAGGGTAGGCTGTCTTGAGCAGGCGGCGGCGACTGGCGGCGTACGCGTGAGCGGAGAGCGAGCGCGGGGGGCGGGCGAGCAGCTGCGGGCAGGGGTGCGTGGACGGCGGGGCGGCGGCGTGTGTGTGTGTGTGTGCGCGTGTGTGTGTGTGTGTGTGCGTGTGTGTGTGTGTGTGTGTGTGCGTGTGCGTGCGTGTGTGCGACGGCGCGCCTGCCCCTTCGTGACGACGGAGCGCATGCGGCCCGACAGCTCCGAGATCCGCTCCGAGAGGTACGTGGCGACGACCTGCCGTCCGCAGCGACAAGAGGGCGGCGTGTGTGTGTGTGTGTGGAGGGGAGGGGCGGGCGGGGCGCACGGCTCCTCCGCTCTCGCGTCTGCCCCGCTGCCCCGCCTCCACCACCACCCGCGCCTCTGCCCCTCCGCCCCCTCTCCCTCCTCCTCCTCTCGCCCCTTCTCCCCCCCCCTCTCGGCCCTCGGCCAGCCGCCGCCTTGAAGAGCTGGCCGGCAGACAGGTTGTCGTCAGCCAGCAGCTTGAGCAGCTTCTGCTGGTCGACCTCGAGGACGGTGAGCGTGGTCGCAGCCTTCGCCGTCGCTGCAGCCGGGTGGCCCAGCAGCAGCGACAGCTCGCCTGCGCCCCAAGGAAGGAGGAGGTCAGGGCCAAGGCGGTGAGGGACGCCGAGGGGATCGGCTTGCCGGCGAGCGGGCCGCTGGATGCAGCGGCGTGGGCTGGCGGTGGCGAGAAATATTGGTGACGGGCAGCGGCGGGCTCGCGCGAATGCGGGGCGCGCTCCGAGGACGTCGCCCGTCGAGCGAGTCGCGAGCTCCACGTCTGTGTCGCCTTCGCGCTTCAGCACGAGGTCGACCCTGCCCTCCTTGATGAAGAACATTTTGCCCGCGGTGACACCCTGCTCGATTAGCGTTTCGCCCGCCTCGAGCGAGCGCAGCGCGCCCGACGCCTCGAAGATGCGCTCCACAAACTCCTGCATCGACTTGTCCTTGGCTGCCTCGCGCTGGCCGGCGTCCGCCTTCTTCTTAGCAACCGACTTGCTCTTGTAGGCGTTCCCCTTGGCCTTGGGGCTCGACGCGGAGTTTCCCATGGCGGAGGGAGCAAAGCCGAGAAGAGACGGAGTGTGCTCGGCCGCGGGTCTACAGACAAAGCGGCGGCCGGCACCCCTCTCGCCGACCGTGGATGATGCGCCATTGTTTCTTTTTGCTACCCCGCGCGTTTCTTTATTTTTTTAAATTTTGACCTTGCCGCGCCGCCGTGCCGTGTTCTTCCCTCTGGCTCTCAGCTTGGGAGACCTCGCTTGTGGGGGAGGCTGTACGTCTGCGCGCCTCGTTCTTCTTTTTGCCAACTTACTCCCCAACTAAGATGCAGCCCGATTTCTCCTCGATCTCAGCAGACAGAGGCACCCCGACCAGCGCTCCACACCGGGGCGGCGATACGTTTTCTCCTAGGTTTTCTCGCCGCTTCGCCACCGGCGTCCAAAAGAGGCGAGGCCGAGGGTGGCAGCTCGTGAGGAGGGGGTGGCGCGAGGGTCGTCGCGAGGGCGCCTCCGCGTGTCCGGGAGGGGGCCGTGCTGAGGCGCGAGGCTCGATGGCGGATGTTGGCCCTGGGCTTCGAGGATGTTTGCAATCAAGCCTTGTTCCCTTGATGAAGCCCCTCAACCTCCAAAATCTCCCACGATGTTTCGCCCGACAGCTACTTGTGTGTGTGTGTGTGTGTGTGTGTGTGTGTGTGTGTGTGTGTGTGTGTGTGTGTGTGTGTGTGTGTGTGTGTGTGTGTGTGTGTGTGTATGGTGGAGTACGAGGACTGTGGGGTTCAACCAGGCGACGGCGGACATAGCGAGCCATCGCGGGTACCAGCCTGTCCGGAGCTCCGGAGGGCGAGCTGGATAGATCCGCATGGTCTTCACGGACGAACGCACGCCGGTGGGTGTGCGGCGCAATGATGCCGATGCCTTTTGCAAGGCGCCTTACTCTATTTAGTATTTACCCGTTTCTCTGCATTTTTGCAGAGTTAGAGCTCTTCTCTTTCTACTGTCTGGGTGCGTGTGCTCGTATTTTGCGTGAACTTATTCGGGCATCACAAGCCCCTCTCCGATGTATCTGATGTAACTCGCGTGAACGGCCGCTTCTCTGCCTTCTACCCAGGTACTCTGAACTCATCAAGCTTCCCCGTGAACTTGGAGCACTTGGAGTGCGGATAGCAACCTCACAACCGGGGCCGGGGAGCTAAGAAGCGCACCCAGCGGGCCGGACGATCGGCATCGGGCTACGGGCAAGAGAGCCCTGACCCCCTGGGGGGTGCGCGGTCGCAGGGCCATAACACGGGAAGTACTAACAGTAGCGATCGCCAACTCGCGCTGTGGTCAACGTCATGATGAGACCTGTATCTATATCGACCCTTACCGCTCACATGGCTTGGAGCCTACATCACGCTCGACGGCTCCGCCAAGCGGCGTCATGCGGCGATCGCCTACACGCGCTCACGGAGCGAGCGACGGTCGCGACGAGCGACGAGCGCGGTGGACGGCATTCCCCGGTGAACTTGTAGATGCCCTTTAGGTCGCCGCCGGCCGGTCCCCCGCCTACCCCAGCCGCGGGTGGATAGTACCGAACGAATACCGTCCCGTAGGACCGCGGGCTCGACGTTCGGCCGGTCCCACACGGCTGGACAGACGCCCCAGAGCATGGTCCCGAGTGACCCGTACGGCGACCTATGGACGGCGACGCAAACGACGCGCGTGTGCGGCAAGGGCAGGCGCCCACACTTGCCACACGCGTAGTGGGCATCCATACCTCGCTCCCATGGCCGCGGTTGGCCAGGTCAAGGACGCTGACTCACTCCCTCACATGCCTGGAGATGCTCTCCTCAAAAGCGCCTCGTGGACGTCTGAGCAGGCAGGAGCGGAGGGTGACGCGCGCGGAAGCACGTCGGGGGACCCGGGTGCGTTCGCGGCAGCTACCGCGGTCATGCCGGAGCACTCGGATCGGTCGCGCGACGTCCCGCGGCCGAGCGACATCAGGTCCGGCGTCGCGCGCGCCGAAGAGCTCGACTCGCCAGAGCAGCCTCCGTGTGAGCCAGAAAGGCATCGTAGCCGTCCTGAGAGGCTTCACACAGGCCATTGGCCATATGGAAGGGCTCATTTGCCGCTGAAGCCGATGGGAAGCTTGAACGGGGACAAACTCAGTCCACCATTCACCGGCTGGGTCTGCCATGGCCAGGAGACCAGGCGACCCCCCTGGCGCCCTCCACGCCCGATGGGTCCATCAGGGCCGCGGGACGGCATTCCCCGGGGGGGGGGGAAAGGGTTAAAGCCGTACCGCGCGTCCCGCGTCCTGATCTCTGTGTTCTCTGACTCTGTTTTTCAGTGTTCTCTCGTCTCGCTTCTCTGACCATTTCACAGCTGATTGCGCACGAAATGCCCGTCCTGCATGATGGCGGCGATGCGAGGAGTGGAGACACTGCCGTCGTCCGTGAGGTTTGCGAGGAGGGGCGTGGAGTCCTCCCACGGCCGCCCCTCGACCACGAGGAGGTCGGCGAGCCAGCCGGGGCGCAGCTGGCCGACAGGCAGGCGCATGAGCGCGCCGCCGTGTCGCGTGGCGGCGACGAGCGCCTCTTCGGGCGAGTAGCCAAAGTGCCGCTGGAAGAGGAGGAGGTCGTTGGCGTTGGTGCCCTGCGGGGTCACGCGGAAGCCGTAATCGCCGCCGAGGACGACGCGCAAGCCGCGAGTCCGCAGAGCCGAGAAGGTCTTGGCCTGCGCGTCGAGGAGCAGCTGGACGTCGGGCAGACTCGGCGCGAGGGCAGCCATGAGGCCGACGGCGGGGCCGACAAAGATGTGGTCGCGCGCGGCCGCGAGGGCATCGAGCAGCGCCGAGTCCTTGTGGACAAAATCCAGATGATAGATCACGTCCACACCCACGGCGAGAGCCATCCGCACGTCTGCTGAGCCGCGGCAGTGCGCCGCGACGCGCTTCTGTCGCATGTGCGCCTCCTCGACCGCCGCGCGTACCTCGGCTTCGCTGTACGCAGGAAGCATGTCGTCACGCTCCTCGCTGAGCTTCGAGATCGGCACGAGGTCGCCGCCGATGTTGATCTTGATCGTGTCGGCGCCCTCCCGCAGGCAGCGACGCACCGCCGCCCTCACCTCATCGGCGCCGTCGGCCACGAGTCCAAAAGAGTCGCGATGCTGGTGCATCACCGAGCCGTCGCCGAGGTTGCCCGTCGCGGTGATCTCGGGCGACGCCGCCAGCAGCCGCGGCCCTGGCGCCCGGCCCGCGTTGATCCAGTTGCGCGTGACGGGGTCCTGCCGCGGCCGCACGCCCGCTGCTGAGAAGGCCGATGTGAAGCCAGCTTCGAGCAACCGGCCTGCATTCAACAGGCCGATGAGTACACCCTCCTCCGGAGGCGTGTCGCCCGGATCGGTCATCGCTGCGATATCCTCGAAACCCGTGTGCGCATGACCCTCGACCATTCCGGGGATGACCGCCCGCCCGTGCAGATCGACAGCAGCACACGCAGTCCCGTCAATCTCGGTCGGCAGCGCCTCACCCGCCTCGATAACGGCGGCGATGCGGTTGCCTCGGAGTACCAACGCGCCGCGGAAGGCCCGTCTCGACGTATGCGCCTCGTCCGCCTCGCCGGACCACACAACACCATTGTGGAGCACCGTGCACCGGCTCGGTGGCACGCGCGGTTGCAGGTCACTGCGGTTGACAAACGGCATCTTAAACGTGAGCTGCATCGGCTCCTCGCTCTTCAGGCACTCCATTGCAGCGGCGAGCGTCACTGAAGTTGCGATAGCAAGCGCTCGCATGCTGGTCGCCGGCGAGGGGCAGCAAGCGCCCAGCGAGCGAGTTCTTTACCAGGTTGCAACCCTTGTTCCGCAATGTGCTGTGAACAGAGCACCAACCAACAGCTCTCAGGACCCCCCGGTGCTGGGGTGCTGCCAGCAACCAACCAAGTCGAGCGGAGCAGCGTCGTTCCGATGTTTCGGCGGGCACTTCTCACCTAAGTCCTTGTGGCGGGCCGCCAGGCCCGGAAGCAGATGCCGACGAGGATCAGACACGGCGCGCTATCTGGGCTCGGAGGTCGGCAAAAGGTTGCGCAACCGACACCAGCGACCAGGATCGTCGATCGAGGTAGGTGCACGCTGCTGAAGCAGTGCACCTACATAGTGCGGGACCTGGGGCAGCAACCAACAACCTGGATGGGGACGGGGTGCTGCTCAAAACCGGCGGCAAACAGCAGCGTTCACAGCCGAGTGCGGAACAAGGGTTGCAACTTGGTAAAGAACTCGCTCGCAGGGAGGTCGCGGGGGCCCGGGGTACCCCGGGTTTCGCGTCGGCCCCGAGGGCCCAGATAGGATAGTCCCCGCTGTAGGACGGTATGCGGCGGTCGCCGCCCACCACCCTGCCCCCCCTGGTATGCCAGCGCCCGGTCCCTTGCCCTCTCTTGCGGAAAGCATGCGGAAACAGGCCAGAATCAGAGAGAGATTTTTAGCAATACCAACCAGACCTGGTCAGAATCCTATTCAAAAGTGCCCCGAATCCAGGTGTGTACTGTTTTTGCTTGGGGCGGACAGCATGATGAAATTCTGCAAAAACCTGACCGGCCCCTGCGGTGCCCCTACCTACCTACCTACCTACCTACCCTACTTATGGGAAACTAAAAAAGAAATCACGGTATGGGTGAAGGTGGGGTACTATACCAACTAAAGTGATGGCTGGTGGTACTCTCCTGCAATCACAGTCCTTCCTGTGACATGGCAGGCCACTATCAAGCCCTACAAGCACCAGATCACCCACTTGGGGAGGGTTGACGTCGTGATTTTCGCCGAAAATTTCTTTTTTTGGAGAAAATTCCGGCGTGAAGAGAGGGAAAAACCCGACGGGAGGGCCCAGACCTACCCTACCTACCCCGGCATGCTGTCCGCCCCAAGCAAAAACAGTATGCCGAATCGGCCGGAACGATTATATTGGCTGGAACAACTACGAGTATACCGGTAACGGTGATGGTAGCTTTTTCGCTGATTCTGTACAGAGCTTGGCAACCTTAGTGGCCGCAGGCCACACGCCCGTAGGGCGTGAACTAGTCGCGCGCGTAAGCGCGCGAAGAAAATTTTCAGAAATACGTACGTACTTACCCTGGGGAAGGCCTTGTTTTCACGTCCTTAGCGAGTGATGCAATCACGTTCTTGTTTTGCCCAAAACAAGACCGTACTCGCACGTTCTTATTGGCTGTGGCAAAGACACTAGACACGCTCCGCCTCCTTCGCCGTCGCCAGCGGCGCTGCACCATGCACGCGTACTTTCCGCCCGCCGATGCAGCGGCGCCCGCGGCCGCCGGCGCGGGCGAGGCGGCAGACGGCTGCGGACAGCGGCACTACCCGCGGGCGCGCCGGCGCCGCCGCAGGCGGCTGCGTCCGGCCCCGAGGTGGCAATGCCGTCGTACCAGCCGTGGAAGCAGTCCCGGCCGGAGTGGAAAGGCTGCACTGCAGAGCAGTGGGCCGCCTCCCGCTGCAAGACCGACGACTACATCGCACCCACGATGCCCAAGGGTTCTGCGCCCGGCAAGATGTGGTCCTTTGGCGTCTGCCAAAAGGGGGCGGTGGTACGAAGCAGTGGCGCTGCCTTTGCCCGACGGCTGGACCACGCGGAACGGTGGTCCCGTGCGGCAAGATCCTCACCTTCCCCGACAACGGCAACATTTGGAGCTCGTGCGCAAACCCCCTGCCAGCCGACGGCCCCACACACACCCCTTTCCAGATTGCCTGTTTGAGACGTCCCCCAACTCCTCTGACCTCGTGCGGTCTCGTAGGCACTTCAGGAACAAGCACCCAAAGGAGTTCGACGACGCCAATAACGCGGCTGAGGTCTGAAGCGCTGCGGCGGCGGCGGCGGGTGGTTGTGTGTGGGTGGGTGGGGGGGGGGGGGGGGGGCCCTCTCCAGGTCCCCAATGGAAGGGTGGGGTGGGTGCGCCGTGGGTGCGCTGTTTGTGTACATCTTAACAAGTGCTTAACAAGCATGACGACCGACGGTGGGACCACGACCGACCACTGCGACACCGAAGGTATGACCGAGGAGGTCGCGGCCGAGAACGCGCCGCTGGTGAACGGCCAGGGATACGTTTGGGCCGAGGGCTACGGCGGCCGCCCCGGCTGGGTTCTCTGCGTAGATTAGGGCCAGGATAGGGCCAGGAGCCGCCGACATCCGGCGCGAGGACCGGCTCTTGCGCACAGAAGCGAGCGGAGCGAGCCGAAGAGAAAATTTGAGGCGTAAGGTCGTACTTGCATGTATGTACGTCCCTGTTTTGACAGTACGTACGTAGTGTCGAAGTACGTCCGTGGTTGAGCTGAGGCGCACGTACGCGAGGGGCGCTGGCGTGTCGTCAGCAAGGGCGTGTGGGCTGGGGGCATTTCCGCCCACGTTCTTGCAATACGTACTTGATTTCACGGTCGTGAAAGCAAGGTTGCCAAGCCTGATTCTGTAGGCGTTGTTCCGGCCGTTGGAGGGATGGTGGAGGGAGTCGCGGGCGGCGCCTCCTCAGGCGAGGCGGCCTCTTCCGGCCTATTGGCCCGCCTTCCCAACGAGGCGGGGATAGCGGCTGCGCGAGGCGACGAGACGCCGCTGCTGGCGTGGCTCGACAGCGGCGGGCGGGTCAACGCGACTTGCGGGGAAGGAGATGTGTATCGCGCGTCTCGTCGCGATGCGAGCGGCATGACCGCGCTGATGCTCGCCGCTCAGGAGGGTCACGAGCGGGTGGTTGAGCTGCTGCTGCAGCGCGGCGCGGAGGTCAACAAGCAGAACAGCGAAGGCAGCACCGCGCTGATGCTGTCCGCCAGCTTTTTCGGCCACGAGCGGGCGGTCGAGCTGCTGCTGCAGCGCGGCGCGGAGGTCGACAAGCAGAACGGCAAAGGCGTCACTGCGCTGATGCTATCCGCCAGCTTCGGCCGCGAGCGGGTGGTCGAGCTGTTGCTGCAGCGCGGCGCGGAGATCAACATGCAGAACAGCAAAGGCGGCACTGCGCTGATGAAAGCCGCCAGCCAAGGCCATGAGCGGGTGGTCGAGCTGTTGCTGCAGCGCGGCGCGGAGATCAACAAGCAGGGCAGCCGAGGCGGCACCGCGCTGATGGACGCCGCTTGCAACGACCGCCCCGCCGTCGTCCTCCGCCTGCTGCGGGCGGGCGCGGATCCAAAGTTGCGCTCTGAAAGCGGCAGGTCCGCACTGCAGTGGGCCAGACAGAAGGGCCTTTCCGCGTGCGTCGAGGCCTTCCGGCAGCACGTCGCGGAGGTGGCTGCAGGCCGGCGCGAGGCTTCTTCGGTGACCCGAGGCGTCATGGACAAGACGCAGACGAACAAAGACGCCGTGACAGCAGCTATTGACGGCGACGAGGCGGCGTTGCTGGCATGGCTCGACAGCGGCGGGCAGGTCAACGCGACTTGCGGGATGGGCGATGTGAGCGGCATCACAGTGCTGATGTGCGCCGCCCAGTTTGGCCACGAGCGAGTGGTCGAGCTGCTGCTGCAGCGCGGCGCGGAGGTCGACAAGCAGAACAGCAAAGGCAGCACCGCGCTGATGGGCGCCGCCATCCAAGACGATGCCGCCATGCAAGGCCACGAGCGGGTGGTCGAGCTGTTGCTGCAGCGCGGCGCGGATATCAACCTGCAGAACAGCATCGGCCTCACCGCGCTGATACTCTCCGCCTGCCAAGGCCACGAGCCGGTGGTCGAGCTGCTGCTGCAGCGCGGCGCGGAGATCAACAGGCAGGACAGCAAAGGCGACACCGCGCTGATGGTCGCCGCCAGCCAAGGCCACCCCGCTGTCGTCCTCCGCCTGCTGCGGGCGGGCGCAGACACGGCACTGCGCTCCGAGAGCGGCAGGACGGCGCTTCAGATGGCCAAGGGAAAGGGCCACGCCGAGTGCGTGCGCGCCCTCGAGGAGCATGCGGCGGCAGAGATGAGAGCGGCGGCGGAGGCGGAGGCAGCGCGGCATGCCGAGGCGCTGCTGGTGGAGGAGGAGGCGGAGAAGGAGGCGGGGGGGCGCGACAAGGAGAGCAAGAAGGGTAAGAAGAAGAAGAAGAAGAAGAAGGGGAAGGGCGGAGGTGGAGGCGCTGGGCCGTCGCGGGAGCCCGAGGATGAGGATGAGGCAGCGCTGGCGGCGGGAGAGGAGGCGGAGCTGGCGGCGGCGTTCGAGGAGAGCGCGAGGCTGGAGGAGAAGAGGCGGGCGCCCGACGAGCAAGCGTCGTCCTCTTTGGCTGCAGAGAGGCCGCCTTCGGTGGAGGAGGAGGAGCCGCCGGACGACTTCGTCTGCCCAATCACGACCGAGGTGATGAGCGACCCGGTGATGGCGGCGGACGGGCATGCTTACGAGCGGACGGCGATCGAGCGCTGGCTCGCGACCAAGTCAACGAGCCCGCTGACGGGCGGCGAGCTCGAGCACAGCATCCTGGTCCCCTCCCACATGCTGCGCCGGATGATCCGGGACTGGGAGGGGGCGCGCAAGGCGGCGTGATCAGGCTCGAGATCGCGCCCCATCCCACACATTATCACCAGCACCAGCACCGCCCTCGGTCCGCGGGGTGCTGGTGGTGTGTGTGTGCGGACTGTGTTCATCTCACAGTCTCTCTTGTTGTACTATCTACTGTTGACTGAGTCTCGTTGCACTGTCTCTTTTGCTGCGCCTTGGAGCGCCAGTGCGGAGACTGTGTTCACTGCGCGCCGCGCGCATGTCGCCCCACGTGAGGGTACTGTGCCCCACACACACTCTCGCAGAGCCGTATACGTATCGACGGTACGGGGAGCGGACCCTGAGTTGACCAGGGGTTGTGCGCTGGGTCCTCCTGCTCGGCTCCAGCCAGTAAACAAGTCTTGTCATCAACAGAGTAGAAGGATCTGACCTCGGGGCCGATGTGACCAAGCGCTGGTAGCGTGGTTTAACCTCACACCCATGGTCTCACAGTGTGCCGGCAGTCGCCGAGCAGTGTCGCTCACACAAGCCGCAGCACAAGTGACTGAGGGCCAGTGAGGGCGAGCCCATCGCTGTGACAGCTGTGGCAGCCGCACAGTAGGCTGTGTCAACTGTGCAGAGTGTGTGAGCAGCAGAGGAGCTGTTCTCCAGGCTTCTGTCGCAAAGAGCTGCATGCCACCGAAAGCGCTGTCGAGGTTCGCCGAGCGCGGCGCAGGTTGAGGGAAGCCGCCACCGACGAGCGCGTTGGACTTTTCACTCCGGACAAAGACGGGGACACAGCGGACGGTGCGGGGTGTGTCCCCGTCATAGTGGCGAGGCGCGGGACCGTCTGTGGCGAGGTGGGTCGCGTCCCTCGATTTCCTCAACTCAGGGTCCGCTCCCTTTACTCTAAGCAAAACTCGAAGAGTCGAACACCTCAGTGTCAGAGCAACCTGAGAAATTACGTACTATTCGTACACACCCTACGGCCACGGCCTCCCTCCGCGCGTCGAGGATGGCCACATTGGCCGCTCGTTTGCCCTCGCGCGCCTCATAACGGCCGCGGCCTGGCGCCAAGAAAAAGCATCATCCCGCTCACGTCGTGCCGAGCGTCCGGATCGACTCCAGCATCTGCGGTGCATCCGAGTTGGCATGGTCCTCGTCGCCGGTCGGGTCGCCCTCCGCCTCTGACACCTCCCGCAGCCTGACCACGCCATCGGCAACGAACAGCGCCGCCCGCTTGCCTCGATTCGGACCGAGCTCTGGGTCCGGCTCCTCCAAGCTCAGGCCGAGTGCAGCCGTCAACGTCCTGGCAAGGGTCGGTGAGGCAATCCTCTTGTGTGCTAAGGCAATCTTCTCGTCTGTAAAAGGCTAATTGTCTAGCTACGATCACCCGAAGGGGTCAGCAACAAAGGTAAATGCTCGGGCGCCCGCCAGCCCGCTCGCGCGCTTCCACGCGTCCAGCACATAGCCGTCGTTTACGCAGATCACCAGCACCGCGTCGACAGCTGCCGCCGACAGGGAGCCGTCCGCGTCGGCTGAACGGTAGCCGGCGAGCTGCGTGCTTCAGACAGAGGTGAAGGCGCCTGATGTTCGGAGCGCCGTTCGGCCCTTAGACTAGACTGCACACGCCAGCGCGTTCTTTGTCCATGTGCAGCCGCCTGGCAGAGACAGCACGACCACCCGCTTTCCGGATAGGTGTAGCTCGCGCACGGAGGGCACGCGCGCCTAAATCGTGCAGTCGTGGGCTTGTGATTGCACGGTACGACTGACGGAGTCTGTTCGGCACTGCTGGTGGGCACCGGAAAGGAGGCGAGGTCGTCCTTGACGAAGACGTGTTCTGCGTCGGGGAAGAGCGAACCTAGCATTCCTACTGAGGTTGGCCGCTTCGGACACTGTGCCCCCGGTGTTGGTCGAGCTCGCCGGCCGGGGGCACTTTTTCTTTTTTCTTGGATTACGCTGTTCTTCACCTCGTGCCGTCATCATCTGTCTAGCGTCCACCCATACCGCGTTGGTGTCCAGTCCGAGCCTGGCTGTTCTTCACCTTCCTACCCTCTTCACCTCCACGCCAGCGGCAAACATCAGCGCGGTGCAGCCGTCGCTGTTCTGCTTGTTGACCTCCGCGCCACGCTGCAGCAGCAGCTCGACCGCCCGCTCGTGGCCCTCCTGGGCGGCGCCCATCAGCGCGGTGCCCCCTTTGCCGTTCTGCTTGTCGATCTCCGCGCCGCGCCGCAGCAGCAGCTCGATCAACTGCTTGTGGCCGTCGATGGCGGCGTCCATCAGTGTGGTGAGGTCGGTCGCCCCTCTGCAGAGCTCTTTGGGAAGGCTGCCGCTACCTGGTACCAACCATCCTTCTGTGTCCGCGGCGTTGCGAAAACTTGTCGTTGGTTTTCAAAAATCTCTCTCTCTCTCTAACACGCACGGGTCTCCGAGGGTTGATGGTTTTCCGCAGCGTATACCGGGTTTCCCCTGAACTGCAGAACGCCCCCTCTACTCGGAGCTAGGTGTCCGAGGGACAATGCCGGCTCTTTTGCGAGAGTTCACTTCTAAAATCCTGTCGCATCTAAATTCTCGTTTTCTGCACTTGACGGCGCTTCCTGCGGCTTGATCAGAAAACGTGTGTTTGTCTATGGACTCACGCGCTCGTGCCGTCGCAGCCATCGCCCAGGGCGCGCGCCCGGCCGCCGTCGTCCCCGCCGGCGCCGCCGCCGCGACCGAGCTCTCGCGGCTCAAGAAACAGCTCCACGAGCTCGAGGAGAAGCGCGACAATGTAATCAAGAAGAGGAGGTCTCGGAGGGAGGCTCGGCCTCCGAGCTGCTGGGCTGCGTGCGGCCGCAGGGGCGGCGCGTGCCCGCAGTTCTGCGGCGAGGGAGGCGCCTGCTGCAAGCTTGCTTGGGTGAGCGATGGGCGCGACCCGAATGCCTGCCCGGCCGAGATGGCGGAGTTTCGGTACCACACGTGCGTGGCGCAGAGCTTCGTCGGCGTGAACAAGGGAGACCCCGCGATGACGGACTTTTCGATCAGCTCGGCCGGCGTGCATCTCGGCCGGACCAACCTCGTCCGAGAGCCCGGCTACACGCGGCCGACGATGGACGACTATTACGCATTCGCCGACGGGACATCCGCCCTGCCCGCCGCCATCGAGCGGCACTTGAGCGACCGCGGGCGTGCGGGGAAAACGCCCTGGCCGGACGCGCAGCAGCAGGAGAGCCCGTGTTGCGCCGTGTCTTCCCCCGCTGCCTTATCCACGCTGCCTTATCCACGCTGCCGCACCTCCCTCCGACAATCCCTCACTTCGCCACCGCCTCACCGGCAGGCGCCGAAGGTGCCCAAGGACCGGTGGCGGTGCAACCGCTCCTTCGCGGTGGGCAAGCGGGGTGACATGCGAGGCGTGCTGTGCGGCCGCTCTCCCCGGAGCCTCCCAGGCACCTTCCAGGAACCTTCCAGAGCACCTCTCTACAGGCGTGATGCGGCCGCTCTTCACGAGGCTGCGACTGTGCGAGCCAGAGACGCGCAGCACGGCGGTGCACGTCTGGTGGACTGAGACTATGGAGCTCGAGACAAAGTTCTGGCCGCCTCGCCGGCCGGCCTCCCGTGCCGGCTTCCCAGAGGGCGGCAGCGGCGACTTCCCCGAGGGCGCGGATCGTCAGCTGTGGCTGCTGCGCGCCGTCCCTCGGAGCCTTCCAGGAGCCTTCTCGGAGCCCTCCTCCCGTAGGCGCCATCGTCAACTCGGCGCCCGGGCTGGCGCAGCTCGTCGGAGTCACAAGCACACGTGTTCATCAACTGTCATCAGTCCTAGGTGCCCGGGTACTCGGAGGGTACTCGGAGTCACGACCTGGCCGTTATGAGGTGATTGAAGTCATGATTGTTGCTCAGGTGCCCGGGCTGGTGCAGCTCATCGGAGTCAAGCCCGCGCTCGGCAGGCTGCAGGAGGTGTGCTACCGCAAGACGGGCTACTCGCGGCTCTCGCCGCCGGCCAACGCCGACGCCGAGCACTGTGGCTTCACGAAGCGCTCTTTCACGGTCGGCAAGGGGCAGCTCGAGGAAGTGTCTAGGAAGTGTCTAGGAAGCGTCTAGGAAGCGTCTAGGTCGGCAAGGGGCAGCTCGAGAGCGTGGCAGCCGACTTCCGCTCGTACAACCTCAACACGATGCGCCACTACCGCCCCTCCGGGGGCGGCGCGCTGAGGCACCGCCTCTGGATCTGCAAGCCGCGCGGCGGCTTCAACTCGGTCGGCATCCACATGCACTCCCTCCCGACCGAGGAGCCAGCAGTAGCAGTAGCAGTAGCAGTAGGAGCAGCAGCAGCAGCAGCATAGCAGTAGCAGTAGCAGTAGACATGCACTCCCTCCCGATCGAGGAGCTCCCGGCTCGGGGCTTCTCCAGCGACCCGCTCTTCTCGAAATGAGACGCTTGCGTGGCGGACTTGAATAGGAGCTCAGCTCGGAGGACACGACGCTCGCCTGGCTGACGAGGCGCGTGCCGGCGGGCGAGTATGTCATGCAGGACTTCGAGATGAACCCGATGACCTTCGCCGGGCACAAGTTCGACCTGCGAGTCTGGGCGGTGTCTAGGAAGTGTCTAGGAAGTGTCTAGGAAGTGTCTAGGCACAAGTTCGACCTGCGAGTCTGGGCGGTCGTCCTCTCGCTCGACCCGCTGCGCACGCCTAGATGCCCAAGGGCAAGGCGGGGAGCCGCGTGTCCGTGTGTCCCCGTCCTCCCTCTCTCACCGGTCGCATCACCAGGGGGCCGGCCTCTGTTTGAGCACAGCCCACCCTCTCCCGAGGCGCCGTGTGCTCAGTGTGCGCATCCACGTGCTAGTGGATGAGTCACAAGCATGCTTCAGCACCGATGTCTTCCTGCAGGCTGCGCGTCCACGCGCTGGGGACGGGCCAGCCACACGGTCCTCGTGCTGGCACCGCGTGCTAGAGCCTTCCCCGAGCCGTCCGAGCCCTCTCCCGCGTAGGCATCCCGAAGGTCAACATGTGGCGTATATATATATTATGTTATATTATATTATGTTATATTATAGGCATCCCGAAGGTCAACATGTGGACCTTCTCGAACGAGCCGCGCCACGCCAAGGCCGGCTGCAGCACGCACCTCACCATGCTCCCCTGCTACGAGCAAGACGACCCGGACAGGCGGCGGCGCCTCCTAGCCTCACCGCACCTAGCCTCACAGCACCTAGCCTCACCGCACCTAGCCTCACAGCACCTAGCCTCACCGCACCTAGCCTCACAGCACCTAGCCTCACAGCACCTAGCCTCACAGCACCTAGCCTCACAGCACCTAGCCTCACAGCACCTAGTCTACAGCAGAGGCGGCCGCAACAGCTACCCGGGAACAAGACACGCATTCGACCGCCGCCACCGCTCCGCCATAAGCTCGGGCTAGCCACGCTCGCAGAGGCGGCCGCCAGACGCAGATGTGGAGCTCGGCACGTGTGTGCTGCCCTCGCCGCCTCGGGCTACACGGGCAGCGGGGCGTGGATCAGAGCTTTGAGGGCGGGCGGTACGCGGTTGCGCTCGAGGGCGGCGGCGAGAGCGTGCGGGTGCGGCCGGGTAATCTTTCGCCGGCTGCGGCGGAGCGGGCGCCGAGCGGTGCCGCGGCAGTCTCCGATGAGGTCGTGACAGCTGCTGAGCGAGGCGACGAGGCGGCAGTGCTGGAGTGGCTCGAAGGCGGCGGGCGGGTCGACGCGACGAACGAGAGAGGCGGCTTGAGCGGCCTCACGCTGCTGATGGGCGCCGCCTTCATCGGCCACGAGCGGGTGGTCGAGCTGCTGATCCGGCACGGCGCAGATGTCAACCGGCAGGACAGCAACGGCGGCACCGCGCTGATGATCGCCGCCGTCCAAGGCTACGAGCGGGTGGTCGATTTGCTGCTGCAGCACGGCGCGGAGCTCAACGTGCAGAGCAGCGACGGCCACACCGCGCTGATGCTCGCCGCTTACCTCAACCGCCCCGCCGTCGTGCGGCGCTTGCTGCGGGCAGGCGCAGACACGGCGGCGCGCGCTGAGGACGGCAAGACAGCGCTGCAGCTAGCCAAGCAGCTGGGCCACGCCGCGTGCGTCGAGGCCTTCAAGAAGCACGTCCAGGAGGTGGTGGCGGGACGGCCCGCGGCGACGGCAGCCGGCGGCGAAGGCGCAGGCGGCGCTTCCTCCGGCGGCGCTTCCTCGGCTGGATTGAGAGCCGCGAAGACGCTATCTCCAGCGGTGGCGGCGGGGCGGGCGTCGAGCGGTGTCGCGGCAGCCCCCGATGCGGTCGTGGCAGCAGCTCATCGAGGCGAGGAGGAGGCGCTGCTGGAGTGGCTCGACAGTAGCGGGCGGGTCGACGCGACGTACGAGAGAGGCGAAGTGAGCGGCCTCACGCTGCTGATGTGCGCCGCCAACTACGGCCACGGGCGGGTGGTCGAGTTGCTGCTCCGGCGTGGGGCGAAGGTCAATTTGCAGAACAGCGACGGCGTCACCGCGCTGATGGCCGCCGCCGGCCAAGGCCACGAGCGGGTGGTCGACTTGCTGATTCGGCACGGCGCCGAGGTCAACTTGCAGAACAGCGGCGGCGGCACCGCGCTGTTTATCGCCGCAACCGCAACTGGAGGCCACGCGAAGGTGGTCGAGTTGCTGATACGGCACGGCGCGGAGATGGCGGGCGGGGCGGACGCGGTGGGCGCGGCGGGCGCGGTGGGCGTGGGAGGCCATGGGACGAGGGGCGTGGCGCTGGTGGCTCGTAGCTGTTTACATACAGAACCTGAGTACACGGAAAATCGCCTTCACAGCTCACACTGGCCCTGAGAGGCAGCTCTCAGTCACCTGTGGCTGTGCTAGAGAGGCTGGACGCGTACGCTAGGTAGGAGGGGGGATATACGGCGTCTTCACAGAGAAAACCAGCTGCGGAGCTGGCGCTCAACAGGTCATGGGCGGGAACTCCACCGATGTCCGATGGCCGCCTGGCGGCTCAGCCGCCACGCCAGCATGACCGTGGCAGCTACCTCATCGCGATCGGGGTGATGACCAGGCCGCACAACTTTGATCGCCGCGCGTGGATGCGCGAGCACGCGCCCGCACCGCCCGAGCTCCTGATGCGCTTTGTGCTCGGCCGCTGCTTAGCCGCGGACGTGTCGTACCTACTCCTTTAAGCACGCGAAGGACGGCTTCCGCTCGGCGCATGTGATCAAGACGTACGAGTGGTACATCTACGCGAAGGGGCTCGACACGCGCTGGGTGGCCAAGGCTGACGACGACACGCTGTGGAACGTGCCGCTGCTGCTCGCCGAGCTTCGTCTGCTCACGGGGAAGCACGCGCACGCCTACCACGGAGTGATGCGCTGGCGGTGGTACTCCACCGTCGACTCCGCAGTGTGCGGCGCCTTCGTGGAGCACGGCCCGCCGAAGCCGCCGCCGGCGGCGCGCGTGGCGACGTCGGTGGCGAAGTGCGGCGGCGGTGGCACGGCGGGCGGCGGCGTGCTCGGCCCGTTCGTGTACTCTGATGGCTCGTTTGAGCTCCTCTCGACGCCGCTCGCGCGCGCCGCCTTCGCGCCGACGGCGCGCCGCTGGCACAGGCAGTTCCTCGGCATGAGCAAGCGCGGCTCGACCGCCGAGGACCCGCTCGTCGGCGCGCTCGTCTACGAGGAGAGCGTGAGGCAGCAGCTGCCCACCGCCTTCTACGCGCTGCGCCCGTGGCGACACAACCGCTTCTGGGTCGACTTACGCGAGGCGCGCACGCTGCCCGACGCGACCACCCTGTCGGTGCGCGCTCGCCCACACCCCGCCTCTCACGCCTCGGCCCATGCGTGTGCACCTTTGCCGCCCAAGCAGTCCCCCCTCTCGAAGTCCCCTCCATAATCCCGACCGTACCCGCAGGTGCACCGCGTGTACAACTCGATGCTCGCAAAGGTGTCGGCGGCGCGCTTCGCCCTGCGCAATGGCGCCAACGCGTCGTCGTACGTGCAGTACGATTGCGGCAAGTGCTCAGAGTGGGGGTGGCAACAGGGCACCTCCAAATTTGCGTGCTGCATGAAGCGTCCATGTGCGGCCAATGATCCCTCAGTGCCTCTTGCATCTTGTGGTCTTGTGTAGATTACTCTCTTCTGCTGCACACGTATCACGGTCTGAGCCCTGGTGTCGAGGTGTCGAGGCCCGGTGTCGAGGGTGTGGCTAGCGCGGGGCTACTCAATAGCAGAGCTGCTGTAACATTTAAACCATCCTCACCTCTCCCCTAGCTCTCCCCACAGCACACTGCTCACTGGTCTGCTCCACAGTGGAACACAAAACGACTAAAACGCGCCCAAGCGGCGCATGCGCATGCGCACGACGCATGGCCACACCAGACCGAAGAGGGCTCGACACAGCGTCGCGTAGGAGTTGGGCGCACGCGGGTGGCGCCGTGGCGCGCGCGGGCGCGACGAGCGGACGGGCGGACGCGGCCAGCGGCGGTCGCACGACGAGAGAGAGGAACGCCCCACGCAGGCGCGGAACCGGCCGTGCCGCGGCAGCGCGGCAGGCGATCCGTCATTTCCGCCGCCACGCCGCCGCCTCCGCGGCACCCTCGCGATCAGTGCGGCTGGGGGTCGCGGTGTGCGACCAGCACCGGAGCGTCTAACTGCGGGCAGTGCGTTTGCGCCGCGGCGCGCAGCCACTCCGTGTCCTCGCGCTTTCCGCTACCAAATGCGCGAAATGGAGTGAACGGGATCAGGTCGACGTGCAGTTTGCGCAAGCTCGGGCCCAGCTGCGGCAGCGCCGGAACCAGGTCGTGCACGCGCAGTTTCGTGGTCGCACGGACGGAGAGCTCGTGCAGCGTGCCACCGACGGAGCCAATCAGCTCGGCGGCGCAGCGCCCCAGCGTGTTGGTCCCCTCCCGCGGGTACGGCCCAGAATATCCCGCCGACGCGTGGACGATCTCCAGCTGCCGCAGTCCCGTGAGGTGCGCGCCGTGGCGGCGCTCTGGCCGAGGGAGACGGAGCTGCTCTGCAGCCCCTGCAAAGTTGCGAGGGAAGAGACACTGCTCTCCATCCACTGCTCGCCCCCATCCCTCGTGCGGCGCTGCCTCCCCCTCGCTGGCCGAATACTTGGAGTCGACGCGCTTCGACTGACAGCCGTCCTCGGCCGCCCAGGGATGAGGGGCGGCGGGCTGTAGCAGCGGCGCAGCGGCGCGCTCCCCGAGAGCGTCGGCGACACGGGCTCGTCGTCAGGCCCCTTCCCCCAGAGGCTCTTCTTGCCCAACGGGGAGAGCGGAGAATGAGCAGCGCCTTCCGATGCACTCATGATCTCGCTCCTCGCCCTCCGTGGCAGCGTGAGGCACTCCTTCTCGAGCAGCAGACTCGTGCGCTTTGCCTCCAGCGCCTCGCCAACGACTCTTTGGTGCTCGGTCAGGAGTGCGACCGACTCTTTGATCACCTTGCACTGCCTGCAACGCGTGCGAGGCAGTGATCAGGGCAGGCGGGGCGGTCTTGGAGGCGGGCGCCCGCGCACCTCGCAGCATCCGCCCGAATGCTGCTCTGGTGCGCCCTCTCCACGAGCAGCAAGTCCGTCACCCGATCGGACTCGTCGCTCGGCCGACTGATCTCAGCGCGAAGGGCGAGGCACTGCTCGGTCGCCTGCTGCCTCTCTCCCCCGGAGAGGCGCGTAAAGGCAGCCGCGATGTGGTCGAGCATCACGAGCTCGCGGTCGATGTTCCGCTTGATCACAGTGAGGCGATGCTCCTGTTGCGAGCTCTCCGCCACCTGGCACTTTAGCTGCAGGCGAATCTCGGCCATCCGCCGCAGCGCAATCTGATCCGCCAGCATCATGGCGGCGGGACGTAACAGACTCGGCGGCGAAACGGAAAGAATTTTAAAGCAAAGCGGGACGAGACTTTTCTTTGGCGTCTGCAAGCTGTGTATTCTTGTATTATCGTCGAGTAAGGTATTGCGTGGGGGCGGTACGTAGTCCCGTATCACTAGCTCCGAGTAGAGGGGGTGCAATCTGCTGCTAGGGGGGCCCAAGGAAGCGCGAGGGAAAATCCGCCGCTAAGGGAAACCCGGACTCCAAGTGCTCCGGAGCGCGGAGCTAACCCTCGGAGACCCGTGTTATTCATGGCCCTGCGACCGCGCACCCCTTATACTAGCTCCAAGGAGAGGGGGCGTTCCGCAGCTAGGGGGACCCGGCCGGAGCGCGGCAGAGCTAACCCTCGGAGGAGACCCGTGTTATGGCCCTGCGAACGCGCACCCCCCAGGGCTAGGGCTCTCTAGCCCGCAACCCGACGCCGAGCGTCTGGCCAACTGGTGCGCTTCAGCCCGCCTCGTCCGAGGTTTGGGCCTGGCTCATGCCCCACTGCGTCGCCGCCTGGATCTACTGGCACGCCACACTCCTCCTCTGGGCGGGCGTGCCGTTCCTGCCGCACCCGAAGAGCTCGGACCCAGCCGCATACAAGCGCGACATCCTCGCAAAGGCGGAGGCGTCGGGCAAGACGCTCTGCCCGGCCGTCGGCGCCGCCGCGGCGGGCCAGCCCCGCTTCTCGTGGAGCGACGCGGCGCGGTATCCGTGGGACGGCTAGAGAGAAGACACCCTCAGGCCGCCCTCCGCGCGCGCAACTTGGTCTGAGATATTGTACCGCGGCAAGAAGATATTGCATTTATTTTTATCAATCAGCGGGAGACAGAAGAGAAACACGAAAAGACGAGACCTCACCTGGGTGTCACCTCTCGTGGCTATGATTGTGCTACCTAGAGCGTAACCGTAAGATGCGGGGGCCGTCTGGAGGCAAGAGGTCAGCCCGCACAGGGCGTGGGCGGGGTCCCAAAATTCTTTGGCCTGCCAGCGGGTGTGTGTGTAGTCTGTTGAGCTCTATAGTCTCCACTCCTGGCCCCATCTCGTAATAGTCCAACGTATCATAAGAGATTACCATAACCACCCTCACTTCTCACGAACACGATAGGTAGCGATGTATTCAGGGTATGCTTGTGTCAAGTCGTAGAGGATCACCATCCTCGAGTCGCAGTGCCCTGGACCAGAGCACGACGGCCGGTGGGGTCCGCCCTGCACCGAGTCGAAGAGCACGCCCGAGCTTTGGCCTGGGGGCTTGGTCAAGCTCCGGGTCTCCTCTCCGACATAGCTGCCAAAGTCCTTGGCAACGCCGACAGCGGCACGAAGCAGCAGCAGCTGCCGCAGCTCCCGGTCTGGGTAGTCAGGGTAGAAAACATACGAGCGGTCGCTGTCGCCATTTGAGTATCGTGCCTTTGCCGCAAGGTAAACTCCTCGCCCGTAGAAGGCTGCACTCGAGAATCGCGGGTCGATGCCAACCTCGTGTTGCAACGCGACGTGAGGGTCGAGATTAGAGGTTCCATGCCACATTTGCTGCTCATTCGCATCGCCACTACGCTTGAGCTTGATCCGATCCCTTTTTGCGCAGTAGTCCTTCCAGAGCAGCCGATCTTCGACACGCTCGAGCCGAACGAGCTCCGCCGTCGGGAGGGACTCCTTTAGCTTGCCCTCAACCTCTGCCCACTCTAGCTCGGAAGAATCGACCATGACCCGGCAGCGACCGGCTCGCCACCACTCAATGCTACCTCGGTCGCCACCGTCGTCAGACTGAGAGGTCCAAGTCGCAGGAAACTGCACGCCAGCGCTTTGGAGCAGCACCTGCTGCCGCATGAGCTCAACTTCGGCCGTGGCGCAGTCATGCCGGAGTGCGACCACCTCGTCGCTCGTGATCTGCAGCTGCGTCTGCAGCGTAGCTCTACCAGCGGTGGCGTGCTCTACAGCGGCCCGAAGAGCGGCCAGCTCGGCCTCGGCCTCAGCCAAACGGCGAGCGAGCGCCTCGGATGCGACTGCGGCGGCAGCTGCTGAGGAGCCGGCACCCTCGCTCGCGACCGGGTGAGCTGCAACGAGCGAGCCGAGCTCAGATGAAAGCCCTTCAAAGGTTGGACGAGCGGCTGGGTCTTGGCGCCAAGATCCCTCCATCAGCTCAAGCGCCTTGGCAGGGGCGCTCGTGGGGAGATCTGGGCGCACCGGCTCCTCGCCGTAGAAGGACGCCATATGCGCAGCCTGAATCTCCATCTCCGGCTTTCCAGCCCAAGGCGGGCTGCCCGCAAACAGCTCCCAAAATAGCATTGCAAACGAATACACGTCGCATGGCGGCGCATATTTGGCGCCGCCCTTGCTCTTGGGCCGTGACAGCTCAGGCGCCTTGTACGCCATGGTGCCGCGGGTTACAAGGCGCCATCCTGCAGCGGTTTCGACGGCGCTAGCAGCAAGGGAAGCTGCGGTAAGCGTCGTCCTTAGTTGTACTGACAGGCCAAAGTCGGCGACGAGCGCCTCGCCACCACGGCCGATCAGCACATTTGGCGGCTTGAGGTCAAGGTGCAAAATTCCTCGGGCGTGCAGCGCAGCCATCCCTGCGCAAATGTCCCGAGCGAGCTGAAACTTTCGGCCGACAGCCATCGGAACGCCTGACGCCACAGCAGCATCAATCTCGTCGACCAAAGTTCCCTTCGCCAGAGGGAGCAGCATCATAGGACTGTCAGCATCAGTGACGACACCGAGGAGATGCACCACGTTCGGGTGCCGAACCCGGGCCAAAGCGTTGGCCTCTTCCAAGAGCATGCCTGCCGCGCGCTTTCGCTCGGCAGCACTCGAGGCAGCGGCAACCACCTTCACCGCAATGTCGGCGCCCTGCCACCGCGCGCGGTGCACCACGCCGAAAGATCCGCGGCCAATCTGGTCTTGCAGGACCACCTGGCGGGCTGGCACGTGCGTTTGCTGCGACTGCAGCGCCAGCTGCTTTTCTAGCCGCGCTGCCAAGGCGTTTGCGTCCTCAAGCTGGCGCTGCAGCCGAGCGAGATCCGACGACGCTGCGGAAGCAGACGGCAGCGAAGGCGGGGAGGAGGCCTTCAGCGACTCTGCCTTAGCCTTCTCAATTTGTGCCTTTTCGACACCGAACGCCGGGTCGCGACCGCAGGCCGACCTGTGGCCCCATTTCCAATGTAGTCTCTGGCACTCCGCGGAACAGTACATCACGCCCTTGCATCCTGAGCAGCGCTTGCAAGACGGCAGATTACACACCGCGCACACCCTGGAGGCGACATGGAACTTGGTGGCGGCGTTGGAGGCGGTGGTGGCGGTGGAGGCGGTGGTGGCGGAAGCGCCCGCATGCCAAGCGCCCGACTGCCAAGCGCCCGCATCAGAATCCCAGCGAGCACAGAAATTTCCTGTCGGAGCCGGAGAACCCGGCGCGAGTGGAGCAAACACCTGAAACTCTTCGCGGCTTCGAACAAAGCGAGCAACCACCAAGTAAACATGTTGCGGAGGCTGCCTCCGAGACTGACGGCGCGCCTCGCAAGGCGCGAAGGCGCGCGATACACACTCCTCTCGCGTCTCGGGGAAAACGCGCAACTGTGGAAAAGAGTTCAACGAAAAGAACTCTCTCTCACAGCACACAGGTTCGACACAGGAAAAGAGTTTGCTCGGATTCCGAGCGCGCTGGTAGTAGTCGTGTAGGCGTCACCAGTCATCTTGGGAGCGGAGCTGCTCTTAGTCCTAGAAGATGTGTTTGCGAGCGTAGGCGCTCACAATCGCACAGAGATGCTACGATTGCGAGGAGTGCTGCTCACAATCCTTCGACTTCTATCTAGGATTGAGAGCGAGGCTGCTCTCAATCCTAGCCTGGTAGAAAAGAAGGTTCACCGGCACTCTTGACAGAGCCGGCTTGTATTCTTTTTTTGTCGTTCTCCACACCGCCGTGGCGTGGCAGACGGTGAACGAGCTAGCGTGCGGGGACAGCGGCATTGTGCACGGAGCTAAGTGCATTGCCGTTCTTAACGGAGTCGCTTAGGCGGCTCCGGTGGTGTGCCGGTGATAGTACTAGCACGCGCCAGTTCGCACCTGTGTCGAGCCTGTCTGCGTGCAGTTTTCTTTTTTTGACACTCTCTGGGTGACAAGCTGGCGCGACGAACGCTGGGACAGACAGGAGAGGACGAAGCGGGCCGGAATTGGATCAGTGGTTCAAAGTTCGCTGCTCGTGATGCCTCGCGACCAGGAGGTGCCTACCTCGGCGTGGCCAGTGGTGACTTCACTCCTCTTGACGCTCGCCGGCTGCTTCTTCGCGCTATCGGCAGCCGGCGCTGGCTGCTCAGTCGGCGCTCGCTGCGCCGCCTTGCCGGACTCGCCTCGTCGGGCGCTCAGGCAAGCAGCCACCGCAGATGCGACCGAGAGGGTGGGAGGTGACGTGGGCGGTCGGCGCAGGGGCAAAGGCCGAGGCCGGGGCGGTGGCCGCAGTGGCGGCGGCCGTGGCAGCAACGGCGGCCGTGGCGGTGGCGGCGGTGGCGGCGGCGGAGGCGGCGGCGGCGGCGGCGGCGGAGGAGGAGGAGGAGGAGGCCTCGTGCACGTGTGCTTCATGTCGCTCGGTCCACCCCAGCAGACCGAGTCTGCCGTCTCCATCATTCGCAACATTGAGGCGCTCGCAGCGCGTGCCGAGGCGCTGGCTGGCGGCAGACAGCTCGTCGGACACTGAGCGCCGCGCCCAGCCACTTCCTGCCCTGCCGTAGGCGCTGCGGTACCACATGGTCGTCGACCGCTCTCCCGCCTCGCTGCGGCGCGCCCTCGAGACGCGCCCCTCCTGGAGAGGACTCGCCCTCGTCTGGCGGCATGGGCGTGGTGCACTGTCTCTTCACGGGCGGCGGCGTGAACAGGCGAGGGATGCCTCTCGCGCGGCTGCACCTCCACAACACGCTGCAGCTGCCGCAGCACGTCCGCGAGCTGCACCGCAGACTCTCTCGAAGCGCCACCGGGCCGGGGTGGGACAACACACCACGCCCCAACCCAGCCCCTGCCACCCCACCCCACCCCACCCCACCCCACCCCACCCCACCCCACCCCACCCCACCCCACCCCGCCCCGCCCCGCCCCGCCAGAAGCGCTTCAAGCTTCGCCCCCTCCCCTCACCCCTCTCCCTGACCGCCCCCTCCCTCCGCCCGGCGCAGCTCCATCTACCTCTGGAAGCCGCACAAGCTT